TTAAACATTCGTTTCTTATTTAATTGGTTCCACATTGTTTGCTGATTTTTACTTTATTTAAACTTTGTGTCATTTATTTATTTATTTTTACATCAAGGTGTATGCCGTGCCTCCAAGCTTTCTTACTAGTTTTGCTAATAAACGTTCTACGTTTCTTATTTATTTGGTTAATATATTATAAATGTTTGCTTAGCCTATTTCCAGTTTTGTATACCTATTTAAACTTTATGTAAGTTATTTGTTATTTTATATTAGGCATAGCCTGCCCTATAGCATGGTGCATTTTTATTTGTTTTGTTAATAAAAGTTCTATGTTTTATATATACGCTAAAGTGAGTTTGACGTTGAAAGTAAAATGCGCACGCCGTTTTTACAAGATATTTAAAAGCGAAGGAAAGCGAGGAAAAGAGGGAACGCCCCCGCCCCCACCCCCACGGTGATACCGGTATTACCGGTGTTGTCACATGTCGATTAACCAGTGGGAAAATTTCCTCACCGTCACAACCCTACTTCAGCCCTGTATTATTATAGGTTGTCATTTAGACTGTCCAGTTATTATGTTTTATATTATTCTCTATTAATATGGCAAATTGACTGCTAACCTTATAGGTGCTGTAATTTATATATTGAATCATGCAGAAATTGTCAGTATTATCTGACAGATCTTACAGAATTTTGTGTCTTAAAATATCACAACTGGTTCAGGTATTTATTTTATTTATTTAATTTTATTGAAGGTGAGATGTGTTCTTTCTTTGCCACTTGTATCAGTGCTTAATGCCACAGCACCTACAAACAGCCAGTTAATTCAGTTTTTTATTTAATTTTTTAATTTAGTTTATTCTTAATTTTGTTTGTTTGTTTGTTTGTTTATTAGTAAAATATTGGTAGTAGTTTTTTGTTTTGTTTTGTTTTGTGTCAGTCCTGTGCCACTATTGTCACCAAACCAAACATAATGATTTTTACAAACAGGTTTTCTAAGCATTGTCATTGGTCAGTCAAACTTATAGAGACACAGTGTGAATATTAAACTGGGATAGAAGGAAGTATTTTAGCATTGAAAAAATTTGACTCTACAGCTCAAACTGAACATTAACATTTGTAATTGTAATACATGTTTTCTGTGAAATCAATCAACAATGTTTTCTGCTGTGCTGAACTTTATGCTGATGTTTTTGTAATTAGCCAACTTGCATCAGGGGTCCTGGATGTTTGTATGTGTGTGATGAACAGAGCAGCTGGTTTTCCCCAGTGCACGTGTGCCCTGTCGTGTGTTCAGCCCTCAGGGAGAGGGTGGACCACAGTGAGCCACATGTTCTCCAGCTGTTATGGGCAAAAAAGAGAGAGAGAGAGTGGGAAAGAGAGTGAGCGAGAGGTAGATAGAGGCTTGCTCGGGTCACTCCATTCTTCAGAGCATATGGGGACATCAGCTTTATCACTGCTGGAGATGAACTTGCTTTAGTTCTCCTTCATTCTGTTGTTGAAGTTCTCAAGCACTTTCTTCTGTCTTTCTCCCTCAGGTGGGACATTTGTGTGCCCAGCAGCCCGTGCAGGGAGAGCTGATCCAGAGATGCCAGCAGCTACAGTCCCGCCTGTCCACACTGACAATAGAGAATGAAGAGGTGACATACACATGGTCCAACAAATATAATGTGCACAACAAATGTGTGCACATTCATTCTTTATGCTTATATTACATCTGTCAAACTTTAAACGTTTTTGTGCACTTTTGTGCGTTTTTGATTAGGCACTTTTGTCTAAATCGAACCTATGACAAGTATTATGGCTAATTTGATAAAATGTTAAGCTACCAATAAGAGTGTAGCTCTGTTTAACATTACCATTAAACATTTATGTTGAAATCCATCAACAGAAAATGTGGGGGAAAAAAGGTTTAAATAGAATTGGTTGGACTAGGGAGGTAGTGTAACAGTGTTAATGGGTTAATGTTAGTTTTTCAATAAAGCATTATACTTTTTCCATGTTCTGTTTATTTTTTATTTAATATATCTTTCACTCAGACGTTTGTGATATTAAAAACAAAAACTTTGCAGAATGACAGTTTCTCTGACAATGGAAAAAACACATTTACTTAATTAGTGTTATGACCCATTTTTCAGTAAACATATTTAAACATCCTTAAAACATGTTTTCTTCGAAGTGCATTAAATTTTAAGTTGGCCTAATCTTTATTCTTGCTTTAAAATATTAATCTTAACAAAATGCAGTGAAGTTATTCTCATGAATAATATAAAAATCAATTAGCCAGTGGTCTGAGAAACAAACTTAATTCAAGACATTAAGAAATCTTAATATCATATGCAATTTTGTTCCTTATCTTCTTTTAAGGATGTTTGGATGCATTTAATGGAAAACAAGACAGAAATTACAACCAAGAAAATGATTTAATGCAGTGCACCAGTCTGTAAAATGAAATCTTGATTAAGTGATTACAGCAGAAGAAATTGCTGTTGCTTCATTTCACTCGTGTACTTTGTACGTAGTAATATTGCCGACATGTAGCAACTATAATGTACATGCTCTTTCTCCAGGTAAAGAAGACGATGGAGGCCACTCTACAGACCATCCAGGACATGGTGACCATTGAGGACTTTGATGTGACTGCCTGCTTCCACCACAGTAACTCAATGGAGTCGGTCAAGTCCACTGTGTCTGAATCTTTCATGAGCAAACCCAGCCTGGCCAAGAGACGAGCCAACCAGCAGGAGACAGAACAGTTCTACTTCACGGTAAATGAGATGGAGAAGGAGAGAAATCAGTTTAATACAGGGTCACAGGGTTGAAGAAAGGGTGTGGAGGATTGGACAGTGGGAAATCTGTAGCTGGGGGCATGAAAGGACAGAAAGAGAAATGGGAAAGGAAGGGTGATGAAGGGAGAGATAAGAGACTGAGTGTTTGAGATACAGCTTAATGTCCTTTCTACTCTATCAGAGTCTTTTAAGAAGCCTTTGATTGAAAAGACAGCAGTTAGAGGAGACTGCTGCAGTTGACTGCTGTTCATTGATCTGTGCTTGTTTGTAGACAGCTGAAACTGTGTTACATTGTAATTCGACAAATAAAATTACAGAGTATGTTCTCCAGACACATTTACAAAATACCCAGAAGACAGCAGCAGCAGTATAGCAATGACCAGGGAGCCACTAATAGCACTTTGTGGCAACTTTGTAAGGGAGACAGGGATCACATGGGGATGTTGTTGTCAACTCAGTAAGTATAGGATAAAAAAAAAAAAAACTGTTAAATAAATTCTTGTTTTCTATATCAGTAGTTTTTGTATGATGGTTTCAAACATTTAGTTCAAAACCCCCCAAAATAATATTATTTATTATTCAATTAACTATATATATATATATATATATATATATATAGTTACATGTAGGGATGCACGATACTGAGCTCCTGTACTCGTTAAAATGCCCCGATACCAAACGCCGATACCACACAGCATGTGATAAGTGCCATATTCAGACAAAGAAACACCGACAACAGAACAACGGACAGCAGAGTGGAGTTATTAGAGATTAATGATGTCTACGAAGTATATGTATGCAATGAATATAATGTTAAACATTCAGTATTGACTGTATAGCTGATGTGCGCGAGCGTATCATTTAATTGATTGACATATTGATATATTTCTGCCTTCAAAATTTAAAACATTAATTTCATAACATTTTATGCATTTGTCGGCTAATTGTAGTGTAAACGCATTCAGTAATGATGGCTCTGATCTCTTTTGTTGACACTGATTGGATTTTTACTAGTAACAGCCCTTTATTATTTTAACTGAATTTATTGATTGAAATTAAGACCGTGGCATTCCATATTCATGATGCATACGTTTAATACGGTTTTAAAAAATGCCCCTGGACATCAGTTTATGGGTTTATTTCTGATGCTGTCAATGTTATTTTTGGTCTGAATAAATTTTGGTTTGACTGTATCTATTTGATAAATGAAGGACTGCTATAACCAACTAATATTATACATACTCTTTTGGTTTCTGTACCCAATATTTGAAAAATGTACAAATGCAATAAAAATATCGGTATCGGTACTCGGTATCAGCAAGTACCAAAAATAAAAGTATCGGTATTGGGCGAGTACTGGAAAAAGTGGTATCGGTGCATCCCTAGTTACATGTGTTTGATATGTGGCAGTTAAAGAAAATGTATTCAGTATTTTTTTTATATCAAATGTATTTTTATATTTAGTAGTTTAAAATGTATTTATATATACATATATACATATTATGCATTTATATATTATAATTTGTGTTTATATGGAGATTTTATGTTTTTTACATTTTCACTGTTTTATGAATTATTTTGTTTCATAATCGATTTACTGTTTCATTTTTTTGTTGTTGTTGTTTTGAAAAGCCAATTTAATGGCAGGTTTTTTTTCTTTTTCTTTTTCATTTTAGCCCCATATAGTGTGACAGCTATAGTCAATGTGTGTTCAGTGAACTCTATATTTTTTCTGACCAATAATGGTTGAATTGTCCGATAGCTTTTTGCTGCCAATACTTTAAAGTATACTGTATGTCTATACAGAAATTGTTTTTCTGATACATAACTGCTTTAAAAAAACAAGCAAATTGAGTACAAAAGGTAGAACAGAATAGAACAATAAGAACATGAATTTCCATTCACTCTGGCCTAACATTACACATATGATCAATGGAAGCACAAGATTAGCAAGCAGAGGTTTGTCACTTGATGTTGTGCAGGCTGTCTTATCACATCCTCTTCATTAGATCATATCCTGATGTATTCCTCCCCTATATCTCCCTCTCTCCTCTTTCTCTTAAACTCCCTAAGTACATTCAGCTCGTCTCTTTCTGCCAAAAGCACTAATGCATGGCTCCATGTGTTGGCTATCCTTCCTGAGTCTGCATGACTGTAATGCTGGTATGGCTGTGATATATGATGGATGAAATTGTAAGCATCTGTCTACCCAGCTCCCTCATTCCCTCCGCAGTTCAGGTTTCTTTCCATCCGTCTCCTGACTCCTCTATCTGTCTCTCCGCTGTCAGGTTTCCATGAGGTCAGGGTTCTCGCCCCCAAAGAGCCATAAGCTATTAGAGCACATAGATCCAATGCCTCCCTGTGCTCCAGTGGATATGAAATTAATGTTTACGCCAACAAGACGTATAGTCTCAACACTACACAGCAAATTGAAAGGGGTGGAGGAAGGATCCTTTGCCAGAAAGCCGAGAAAAGAAAGGAAGATTGATTATACTGCTCACTTAATAGCTATTCAAATGAAATTTCTCAGCAGTGTTTGTTCATAAGTATTGAGATGGTCTAACAGTTGTGCTGGAGTTGAAACTTTTTATATTCTCTATTTCAGAAACTGAAGGAGTTTCTGGAGGGCAGGAACCTCATCACCAAATTACAGGCTAAACATGATCTGATCCAAAAGACTCTGGGAGAAAGTGAGTAATCTTTCTCGAGTGACTTGTGCATGTGGGTTTATGAGCTGTAGTTTGGGCACATTTTAAATGGTAAAGCTAATGCCATCTATAAGATATTGTGGATGTAATATTGCTTTTGTTCAATAAGCAACACATTAATTTGGAGTAAATTATATTTTGGACACAATAGTATCAGTTATTTTGTGCTTAACAAGTGAAAATATTTCAAAACGAAGTCAAAGCAGGATCAACCTTTGTACTTCTCAGAGCAACACACAGTTCCCTGAATCAGTGTTTTGAATGAATTGGTTGAGAAAATGATTCATTGTGAGTCATTCATAAAGACAATATGTTTACTGTACATGAAACCAAATTGTCCAGTAATTGGATTCACGACTCAATCGAACTGAAAAGACTTTGTCAACACCGAAATGAATCCAACTGAGCTTGATCTTAATGCAATTTTTATTGGTTTGGAAGGGGTGGTGTAGACAAAATAATCTGACCTATTGGCAACAAGAAATATATGGAAGCCCGTTTCCGCCACTGAATAATGATAAAAAAAATTTAATTGCGACTTTTTATCTCACAATTCTGGCCGTGATACAAACTCGCAATTCTGACACTTTTTCTCAGAATTGTGAGATATAAACTCAGAATTGCAAGTTATAAAGTCAGTATTGTGAATATCTCACAATTCTGAGAAATAAAAGTCAGAATGGCGAGATGTAAACTCGCAATTACGACGAAAAAAAATCAGAATTGTGAGATAAAAACTCGCAATTACCTTTTTTTTATTCAGTGCCGGAAACAAGCTTCCATAAAAATACGCATGTAACGCCTGAATCCAACTAGCTATTTTCTTAGTTTTATTTAAAAACTTGTATTTTGTGCAATGCACATGCAAACGAATATGTGAATCGGATTGCAAAATTTAAGGTTCATATAAACTTTCAAAATCTGAAATTAGATTGCATTTTTTTCGGATTAATGAAAAATAGTGCATGTAAACATACCTAGTCACTTGTTTCATCTTGGAATGAATCAGTTTTTTTAACAAATCAGTTGAGTGAATGATTTATATGACTCCCTCATTAAGACATTCATGTGTTTTGTTCCCAAATGAATCAGTGTTTTTGAACGAATCATTTGAGTGAATGATTTATATGACTCCCTCACAAGGACAGAACAGTGTTGTATAATTAGCCTTTGGTTCATCATTAGTCTGTGTGTTAAAAGATACATCAAATAATACAATTATTATTTCATTATTTATCTATAAAATATTTTTTATTTTATGTGTATGGTTAGGGTTAATATGCATGTGTGGGATGTTGCAGTGTCAGGCAGAGAGGGTACTGGGTTGACCGTGTGTGTGTGTGTGTGTAAGCTCGAGGATGCTACTGATGTTATCAGTCTCATCAGAGCATGAAGCTTTAACAGTGCAGTGCCACTCTGTACTGCTGTCCTCTGGACCTTAGCATGATCTTATCCACTCACTCATAGGCAGTCCTGGATGGTGGAGGTCAAAGGTCATGTGCCATGCTACAAAACAGAGAAAATGAGACTGTGTAAGAAAGAACAGAGCACAGCGGGGATTTCCTGGAGTGTTTTTCACTCTGATGTACCTCCCACGTTCATTCCTCCAGACTGAACGGTACTGTCAGCCAGTCAGTTCGGACTGCCAATGAACAGGAAGTGAAACTGAGAGAATCAGACTGATGGCACAGAGGATAACGAAGAGATAATTAGGTGTGATGGAGAGAGCAATGGTGTTGATTACTCTGTTCTGTTGATTCTGGCTGAGATGATCTGTTCATTTTTATCTAAAGTAGTGATTTTGTAGATGTTAACTTTCTCCTCCTTTACTCCAGTCTTCAGTGTCACATGATCCTTCAGATGTCATTCTAATATGCTGATTTGGTGCTCAACTTAATAATGTACAGTATGAAAAATGTATAATTATTTTGAGGTTTGTCAAAGTTAACGTTATTAGTAATTCTTTGTGATACGTTTAAATGAGCATTAGATGACGGCAAATGTAATCTAAATGTAAAAATTATACAAAAGGTATGTAGAATTAAATATCCACTATTAATCAATACTGATAATGGACTCCAACATCATGGCAGTGTGTTCTGCATGGACAAACACCACTCACATTTTCTTCAGAGCACCTCCATCATTTTTCTACTGGGAATTGGATTGATTTCAAATTGACTTAATTTGTTTAGCGAAATGGAAACACCTCAGTTATTCACAAGCTGTCTTTCTTATTTTGTCCAATGACAAAAACAGATTTTAATGTTAAAATGCCTCGGTAAATCCAGCCTTCGGTGTGAAATGGTGCTGAGTACAGTGTGTGCAACCCCAGCTGCTTTTACTGAGTAAACTGACAGAATGTTCCTCCACAGATTGAAGGAAACAAAGTGGTTTGGATGATTAGCTCATTGAAGTCTGTTGCACGTTTGGCATTTGCTGTGTCGAACTGCGTGTTATGGGGAAAATAGCACATTGTGATGCCGCTGAATGTATTTAGAGGTAATGTGCGGATATGAGGTCGCGTCCCATAGGAAGGTCCTCGTGACAGACAAGAAGCGGGACGAGTGTTTTATTCCCAAAAGGAAACTGTGTCCAGCTGTGGCCTCTTCCTCACACATCCAGCCTCCGTCTAACTGTTTTTCTCTCTCTTTTTCCTCTCCATTCAGGTCAGAAGACCGACTACTGCCTTGCCAGGTGAGTGCTGTGGGAAAGCCAAGCCAACAAAACCAAACAAGATGCAAACATTTACGCTCAAGAATTAATTTAGCACACATGCAGATGTCTCAGGGCCATTTATAGATGAATATCTTGTCTAGACACATTCATCTTTTATTCACATCTGCTGATTTATTTATTGAGGCCAGTAGTAGGTGATTTACTCTACAGTTATAATGGAGTACGGAAATGGGAACGGACCTTTAAACAAGAGTTCACAGAAGAGACAAAACAAGTGCTTTCACAACAAACACTACTGAAAGCCTTTCTGTGTGTGTGTTTAAGGCCAGTGTATTAAAATAGGACCCTTCTCGGGAGGGTAATTTCTACTGGTCTAATGGCCACAGGCAGTTTGTAAATTGAATGTGGAGGGAAATTAGAGGGAAAATTATCCATCGTAATAACAGAGCTTTCTCTTTTTCTTTCCATCGCTCTCTTGCTTGTGTCCATCAGCGGACGGAGGAACTCCACTGTTTGGAAACAGGTAATTATCACCAGTCACTGGGTGAGAACTGAGAACTGACTCAGAATTGATTCTGGATCAATCCACTAAAGATCATAATCAGTTACTGTTGAAATCCGTATGCAGAACAAAACATTACAGTGGTGTGCAGTGCTGGGAAAACAGTGGATTGGCGATATGTCATAAAATAGTGTGCTGCCACTGTGCAAACAAACAAAACTTTACATAACTTTAAACGTCAAGTGCAAAAAGGTGTTAGCTGTTCACTTTATATTTAAAGGAAATGTGTTCACTCAGGACATAGTTTGTCATACAATTGAAACTGCTACAGCAAACAAGATGTGCACTATGTGTTTATGAATGGGTTGTATGTTTGTTTGTGTATTTCTTTGTTTAAGTATTTATTTATATTGATGTCATTTATTATTTATTTATTTCATGCATTTGTTTTCCTTTTTTTGTTTGTTTATGCTCATTCTGATGTGGCCTTTTATTTACTCAGAGCAAAAGACACTGATACTAGGTTATTATTATTCATTTATTCTTTTTCTTTTTATGTAATTATTTTTATTTAGCTGGAATGAAAGCGGTTATTTGTACAGAGACAATGCTTTTTAGATTTTCAGTCTCTCCCCAACCAACCCATAAAAAATAGTTAAAATAAATAATTCATAATCTAATTAAATCAATAAATTAATTTAATTAATAATATAATTAAATTAAATAAATACTAAAATAATTAGTCTAAAATAAATAACTTAATAAATAAATGTATGGAAATGTAGGATAAGTAATATAACCGTAATAAAGCAGTGCCACCCTGCAATCATTGTGCACATGGCAGTGGGATAAATGTGTAAAATGGGCCAGTGAGATAAATTTAGTGTGCATGTCCTACAACCTAAACCCTAGGGGTTTACCACCCTACAGTATGGGCAAACAAAGAAAAGGACCCACTGCAGCACCTCATTTAACCACCCCAATGTTCATGTTGCCCTCTAGTGAGGGATAATGATATAAGAGCAGTATTCTGTTACTAGAAGACAAACAATATGAGAAACAAAAGATTTGTTGGGGGGGGGAAAGAAATCCAAAAAAATCCAAATTATGCTTTATACTCCTGTAAGTATGTGTAAGAGTTTGTGAGCTGGACTCTGAGCAGTAAAGTTCAGGCTAGACGTGGCCCAAATTCTGCTTCGCTTAGCCGTTTCCTGCTTACCCAAATAAACAAAAGGAAGCTGTGGAGAGAAGCTGTCTCCTAGCAACCGTTGCCCTATTCCCCCATGGCTCAAACTGTGCTGCTTTTTCATCCCTCCTAAATTCTGTCTGATGCCTGCCTCCCTTTGCAAATATTATTATTATTTAAGTACTCTGCCGAGAAACAGAGACCCTTGTTCAGAAAGGTTTCCTGTGCTGCAAAATGTCCAGAGAAACCCCCCTGAACCATCTGAACAGACCTGCATATTTTCTCCTTCATATTTTGTTTTCTATTTTTTTTATTTCCTTCTTTTAGGAGTCCAGCCAAATCATTCCCCTGATGGTGGAGAGTTGTATTCGCTTCATCAGTCGACACGGTGAGCATTCTCTCTCTCTCTCTCTCTTTCCTTTTCTTGCCAAAGGCACTATTGCTGTGCTGCTCTCTAGACTTTCCCTGAAATGAACAAAGTGTTCTGTTCTGCTTCATTTATTTTTCTATCATACAGTACATACAACTTCTATTCCTATAGCACTATCCAGTGTTTTTTTATTTTATTTAAGGATTCAACTCAATTTAGTCCCAGCTTTATTTATTTATTTATTTCATATATACCATTTATTACTTGTGTCATGGAAAATCTGGAAATATCAGGGAATTTAGTGATTTTCAAAGGTTATTGGAATTAATAAATTAACTAAAGTTTCAGGTGAATATACATTTTTGTCTTGTTGTGCTCTGTTAAAAATATTTGATAGTCTAGAAATCACTTCTCATTTTTAAAAACAGTTAGTTAAAGGGGTCATATGATGCGATTTCAATTTTTCCTTTCTCTTTGGAGTTGTTAAAAGCTCTTGGTGCATAAAGAAGATCTGTAAAGTTGCAAAGACTAAAGTCTCAAATCCAAAGAGATATTCTTTATAAAAGTTAAGAGTCAACCACCCCTACCTAAAACGGCTCGTTCTAACACGCCCCCACATGTCTACGTCACGATGTGGGAAGATTACGCCGCCCAAATGTTCACGCAAAGAAAGAAGGCGTAACTTTTATTCTCGCTGTAGTATTGTTGCTGCCGCCATGTTGTGAAGACGCTATGTGTTTCGTTGTGAAAGCGAAACTACTTTGTTTGGCCTTCCAAAAGAGGACGATATCCGCTTCGTCATGCTTAGAGCTGATCCGTGCTGGTCGCTGAGGAAATACAACAACTTTGCGCTGTGGATCACCGGATCGGCTTTCACCATGGACGAAGCGGAGTCCAGCC